CCCGTCAGCCCCGCGCCGCCCGAGCCCGCCGCGCAGGACCCGCCGCTGCTGCGGGGCATCTTCGAGGTGGGGAAGAAGAGCTGCGACGTGGTGCTGAGCGCCGGGCGGCTGCGCTGGAGCCCCATCCAGCCCGAGCGCCCCACCGGTGAGCCCGACCCCGCGGCCGGGGCGGGGACGGGGGCCGGGACCCCGGCTGAGGCTGGCGGGATTTGGGCTCCCTTGGGGGCGGGGGGCACTCAGGGTGCAGGCGGGACGGCCTGGGGGGCAGCTAAGAAAGCTACGAGTGGGGTGCCTGAATGCAAACACCTGGGCTCTGGGGACCGCAGATGCCCAAACAGGACCGGGAGCTGGTGTCCACGTCGCGAAGGGGGATGCTGCGCAGAGCACCGCTGGCCCTCAAAGGGCAGTGCCCACTTGGGCTCCTGCGCAGCTCTGCCTGGACATGGGAACGGTTTTGGGGCCGGAAGACAGCCCCGCAACCTGCCTCCCTCACAGAGATGGCGAGTTTGGCTAGAGCCAGGCCTGCTTGAGGTGCGTTGGGGACGTGGGCCAGTGCCCACCTTATTGTGGGGGGTCAGTAAGTGCACAGCAAGTGATTATTGGAGACAGCTAAAGAAGCAGAGAGGGGAGGGAGTAAAGGTCAAAGATTCAGGGTGAGTGCACTGTGGGGCGATACGGAGCATAGCATGCTGGGCAGTGCCCCCTGGCCCTTGAGCAAGTCCAAGGAGCCAGTGGACACTGCCCAGAGATGTGAGCGGTTAAGGGGCTGGAAGACAGCCCCACAGTCACTGGGGGTCCCCTCGCCAGAGCCCTCCTTCCTGCTCAGATAGATGGCAACTTTAGCTCAAGCCAAGCCTGTTTGCCACTTCAGGTGTTTGTGGGTGAAAGGCCCACCAAGTGAAACTATAAACCCACCTTAGAAAAAGAGGCTTCTGGGAAAGTGGGAACTAATTCCTTGGGGCAAATGATATCAAAGCAGGACTGGGACTGGGGTTCAAAGGTTTAGAATAGGTGCACCAAGGGGGGGACACTGGACAGTGCTTACTGGCCCTTGAACCAGTGCTAAATATATCACTCTAAGAAAACCTTGCGTCTTGCATAATTCCTGGACCATCATGGCTACAATATCACTCTAACACTACTATATCATTACAAAAGGGCATATTCTTGATATGCAGTTAAGCGTTTATTTCAGTCAGACAGCTGTTTCTGTAGCATGTTCTCTCAGGTATATAGGGAAGAGGGAACTCTGTAGTCATTATTGGGATAGCCAGAGCGTCTGATCTGTTCTCCTTTAGAGCTGGCTGTTGGATAGGAAACAAGTGCCACATTTCATAAGTGTAGAGTTGCTTATTGCATGAGGTGTTGAAATCTACACTGCTGTAGAATGTTGCTATGGCACCATCAACACATGCGAGTCCCTAACGACACTGTTTAGTTATAGGAAGGAATTTTGTTGAATGGCATTGCCTACAACTAAATCCAGTGATTTTAAATATACTAGGCTAGGGTTTTTTCCTGTTACAACGACATATTCTCTTTCAGGGTGATTCTCTGCACTTCCCATGCATATGAAATTCTTTGAATAGCATTGCAGAGCTTCAGCAACTTTCTGGAATGTAGGGGCTAATGGGTTTATTACTGCATCCAACACAGAGCCAAAGTCACTATGGTTATATCTAACAGCAGCTTCTGGAAGAGCCTGGGCATGCCTCAAAGAAATAAGCTCCACCCATTTGCACCTGATCTTCATGTTCCCATTTTCAGAGTAGATATAGCTACTCCTTGCTTAACATCATAGTTATGTTCTTGAAAAATGAGAGTTTAAGCGAAAAGATGTTAAGCGAATCCAATTAGGTCACAGTAGTTACCTACTAGCAGGCAGCAGCCAAACAATGTTATAACTGAACATTGCGCAACTTTAAATGAGTATGTTCTCTAATAGATCAGCGACATAAAGTCATCCCGGTTAACCTTGTTTCGTTATTAAGTGAAGAGTACCTGTAGCTTAGAGGCCTCTAGCGGTGCTGGTGCCAAGTGCAGCATTTCTCAAGTGTATTGCATGTGCAGAACTATCACACTGGAAATCTGTGCATTTTGGCACATGGACCAAGTAGGAGTGAGCAAGATGTATTTCTGAGTTCATCTCCAGGTTTTTTCAGAAAGTAGTATAAGGTAAGGCAGTGTTCTCTTGTACAGTGCACTCCACTTATATGAATAACCTATGAACTGAAGAAAAGGCTACAGTTATCTAAATTTACTGTAAAAAAACAACAACATCTGAGCTATAGCTGGGGTGTCAGATTTATGCCTGTGGGTCAGATGATTGGTACAGGACTGGTCTACCGGCCAGTTAAATAGCACATGGCCAGCACTGTGGGCTGAATTGGGCTCATGCAGCTGTCCCTTCCCTCATGCCAGATCCAGAGCATATAGTGCTTACTTTGGGAGGTGCCCTGCAGCACCTGCCCAAACTCTCTGGGACTCATACCACATATGGTGCCTGCTCCAGCCTCTCTGGGACTTGTACTGAATGTGGAACCCACCCTAGACTGGCTTGTGGGGGGTGCCATGTGCGGGACATGTCCCGGAATAGCTGGATTGGGTATTATGTGCAGCACACATCCTGGAGTGACTGGGAGGGGAACACTGCACGTGATACATGTTCTGGAGCCTGTGTGGGGGTTCTGGTCCAGTGCTTACCACATGCTGCATGTGAGTCCATTCTGGGCCTGGGGACAGCACCAGGGCTAGACAATAGGGGTGCACTGATAGTGATTTTTGGGGCTGATACCAATAGCTGATTTTTAAGGAGGCATATCAGCTGATACCTATCTGATTTCTGATACCAGCTGGGCAGCTTGGAGAGCTGCATGCAGCTGGTAAATCTAGTGTGGTGGAAGGGGAGGGAGTAGGGAAGGGGTGTTGGGGGGACAGATTAAGGCCCCTGCTGTGAGGGAGGAATGGGGCAGGGGCTGGGGCAAGTGGTGGCCAGCTGGGGCGGGGTGGGGGCAGGACAGAGCCATAGCTCATTTGGGTGGGGGCGGGACGGGTGGCTCCTACAGCTGTGCGCCGCTTGTCTGAGAGCCACTCGTCTGGTGGCTTCCACTGCTGGTCCTGCCACTTGTCCAGGAGAGTATTGGGGCGGGTGGGGGGAATGTGCCCCCAGATCTGTGTGGGGCAGAGTGGGCTTGGGCTGGGGCTGCACGGTGATCTTCCCGAGCTGCACCACCCCGTGCAGATCTGGGGGCACATGACCGCGCCCCCCCATGCCCATCCATATGAGTGGCAGGAGCCACTGGACGGGTGGGAGCAGTGGCGGGAGCCGCTGGATGGGCGGCCGAGCGCTGGACAAGTGGTATGCAGTGGTCAGAGCTGCCATCCCCCCTCCCCATGTCCCCTGGACAAGCCACAGCTTTGTCCTGTGCCCGCTCTGCCCCGGCTGGGCAATGCTTGTCTCAGCCCCAGTTCCAGTCCCTCTCTCCTCCCCTTCCACCATACCAGACTTACCAGCTACATGCAGCTCTCCAAGCTGCTGGGCTGTGCTCCTCGCTGCCTACGTACTGTGCTATGGCTGTGCACAGGCACAGACAATTATCAGCCACATCAGGTTTATTACTGATTCGATGAATTTTCTTTATATTGGTGCTGATCCAATATCGGACTGATGTATCGGTGCACCTTTGCTAGATAATGGGGCTCCATGGCCTGGATCCACTCTGCAGCCTTGTCTTTGACATCTCTTACAAGAACAGTCTGCTCTAAGCTTTTTGCACCTCATTAAGAAACATTCCCATGTTTCTTCAATTCCTCTAATTGCAACCTTAAAATTGAAAGGTCCTTATCAGATCAAGGCTACTGTAGAAGCTACTTTAGAAGCTTGAAAGGGAGTCTTTAAGTTAGTTTTATGAATTATGCAGTCAAATAAAGTGCAGTTACATTACAGGATAGGCACTGAGATTGAAGAATGCTCAGGCACTTGAAGAGGTTTATGCACTTAAGCAATATGGAGGTAACAAGTTTGTTACAGTGTAAACAATCAACAACAAATTGGGAAGGGGTATAAGTGAATTATATGAATATTGGACAAAAGTATAAGCGGGATGTACGGTACTCCAAGTGAGCTTCTAAAATGAAAACAGTAGCTGCATTAGCACAGCTCTGGATTAAGTAGCTCGGCTGAGAAACTGGGCTTAATTAGTCTGGGCACAGCAACATACTGACATAACTTTGCTGCTTGCCTTCCTCAAGTAATCATACATAAAGGTAGTTTGGTGTATTTCTTTGTGGTGCTGCCTTGCAGTATAAAAATGTAAGTTAAAGTGCTGTATAGTACTGTCAGTAGCCTCAATTCCTTTTCTTTTACAGTTAATTACAGGGAAAGGACCTCTTCCTATTTACAGTGATTTAGTTATTTTATCCAAACCTATAACTTTATCTTCCATTGTTTCCTAGTTACTTTCTTTTAGGACCAAGGCCCTTTTGGTACTTTTTAGCTCCTCTTCATTGTACCTAGGAGGGCTTCTTAAGATGTAGATAAGAAGGGTGGATTTAAATAGAGTGTTATGTTAATCTATGTTTACAGAAATAGAAAGGTATTTCTATTTGTTTTGTTAGGAAAGTATGTTATTTGGAATGTTACTCAATATCAGACTTACATCCTGAACTCATATGATAGGCATTCCAAGTTCCTCCTTTTACTCACCAAGAAGGCTTGAGAAATCTGCTTCTTGGCTCCTGTAAACGGAAGATGTCATCTTGACAGCCACACAAGTCATGGATGACTTCAGCATGGAAGAAGTTGGCACAAAAGGGATCAGGACCCTGGCCTATGTTTTCTAAGTCTTGAATGGGTACTGAGATGTCATTGAGGTCTGAGAATTGGGCCTTCCATTCCTGGCACTATATTTGTGTTCAGGACTATATCAGCTTCCCAGAAACTCAGTGTGTGTTTCTTTGACATCAGAATCTTTTGTCCTAATCAGGCAGATCTAATTTACCAATTGCAAAGACTTCTATATTACCAAGGGGTTTTGTTTTAGTGGGACAATCAAGTACTTCTTTAGTTCAAGGGTCCTCCTTGACTGCAAGGAAGTCCCATGGAATGAGGCCGTCATTGTAGGATTATTTAGTCCTGTACTCTAA